TATATATATATATATAAGCCTTGCATCTCTCTTTAGGCAGACATTTGGAGAGGTGCATGAAGGCACTAATGTCTCTATCTAATGCAGTGAATTGGGAAAGTATTCAAGCAGTAAATGAGTGTTTTATTTTCTAATTGCTTCATGCTCTCGTAGGGTTGCCACCTGTCCAGGATTCACCCGGACAGTCCGGGTTTTGAATGCTGTGTCCAGGTTTCATGGCAACAGGAACCCAGAACCAAGATGTCAGGCAGACAGGGGCAACCAAAATTAAGATAGGGGCCCCCCCATTAAAAATAGTCTAGACTGTGATATTTACATATGAAAGGGTTGGGCTGTTTACATATGAAAAAGCCGCGACTCATTCTCCCCAAAAAATGTCAGCGCGTCGCTAGAGTGTTCGGGTTTCGCTTGAAGAAAAGGTGGCAACCCTATGCTCTCGGTATCTGCTGAAAACATTGTACAAACCCTCCAGCTTGCTCAATACAAATTGAAAGAAGGAGACATCCAAGGAAGATGCTGTACATTTTGTTGTGTCAACTGAGCAAAGGGTTGAGGCATATGCTATATTGTAGACATGTGCGATTCGGTTCGTTCCGAAATTCGTTTTGGACGAATTTTCGGAAATGCGGAGATTCGGATGCATCCGAGTTCCGAATTACAGCTAAGACGAATGCAAACGAATCCGAAATTCCCGTTTTCCCGAAATTCGTTATTGGACGAATTTCTTTGCACCATTGACACCATTTTACCTCTACAACACATCTATGATTAAAGTACAGAGGCTATAGTGTAGAGGTTAAAGCACAGGATTCCCATTGCTAAGGTCCTAGGTTCAAATCCCGGCCAAGTCAACTAATAAATTTTAGTTGACACATGTGCACATGTCTACTATATTGTAGCTTGGTTTCAATCTTAGTTAAGAGTCTGCATTTTAAACTGGAATAAAAGTCTTTTTAATGCATTATCACTTTTATCTGTGACATATCTGTCACTAGCATAGAACCAGGAAGCCTCTAAACTGGTGGTAGGTAAGTCAAAATAACACTGAAAATTGCATTAGCCTTCAATTCAATTATCTAATATGAACGTGTGTTGACCATAACAAGCATTTTTTGTAGCTAGCTGTGATAAATGATGCCTGCTTATTGGGATCTGATTTTTTTGTATGATTATGTATGCATGTTTGAATATGATCTGAGATGTTTGACAATGGACCAATGGGTTTGAATGAAATTGACTTACTTGTGAAGTAACCATCATGGTGGGTGTTCAGTCAAATGTATGTGTTCAGTAATCTGCCGTGTGTTGATGTGTTAGCGCCAGGTGTTCATGTCACTAGTATGTTATCACCTGGTACATAGATGTCATCCTGTCTGCAGCAAGAATAGGAGGACACAAAGCCCGTCCACGTGAAACATGTTGTCACCTGTTGATTCTGCCTGGTCACTGCAGTGTAACGCTTTTGTTCACACCACAGGATATTAGTGCTGATGTGTGTCCCTGTTGCAGTGTCATTGCACTGTGTGTCTATAAGTCTTACGTAGTTTGTAAGAGTTCCTCCATATACACACAGAACTGTTGAAATTAGAGGGACCAACAGAAGCCCAATTCTTATCACATTTTCTAGAACTATACTACTGGCGGTACCCATGTGTAGACATCCTCAGCACTATAGCTGTGGTGAAATTACAAATCCCATCATTTATCTGGGAGTCATGCCTATAGCTGTCAGAGTCTTGCATTTAGTCAGGGTTAATAAAAAAAATTGTTTTTCATGGCAATTTGTTTTATATTGTAGGCCTGTAATTCTTAGTAAATCTTAGGAATAACTCACCTAAATCTGTCCAAACAATAGTCCAGTAGACATCCCAGGTATGATGAAGTTTGAAACACGAAATCATAAATTATAACAAATAATTATAAGAAATTATAATATAATAATAAATAAAAATGGTCTAGTAAATGGGAATTCTGGGGGCGCTGCCTGGTCCGTACCACAGCCAATAGAGTACAGTAAAAGTGCAGGCAGGGCCCTGGAAAAAGCTCTAGGGAAAAAATTGAAGTGAAATAGTTTGATAAATATATGTAATTATAGCAGATTACATTGTATTCTGTGTAAATATCATATTTACCATTAGCCCTCCGCTGTGACGCCCGAAAACTAAACTGAAAGCCGAATGCCGGCATCGACCGGGCGAACACAGCAGAGGACACCTCGGGCTCGCAGGGACAAGGTAAGTGACACTTTTGCGCAATCCCGGGTGTGGCTCAGGGTTACCGCTCTTGGTACTGAAAATTAACCCCGAGCCACGCTCTGGAATACCGCCAGGGAGGTTAAAGAAGAAAATGAATGCAGCCACCACATCTAAATACTTGTAAACTGCACTATATTACATTTTGTTTTCTAAGTTTAGATACACTTTAAAGGGTCTATTTATAAACAATTTGAAGAACCATTTGTCCTGCAGATTTCTGTGAACTTTTGCATTATTACCACTAGATTTTTCTGAGCATAGGAAAAAGTGTTTATTTCCTGCACTCCTCAGCTCCATCTAGGGGAAACAATGTGGTATTTTTCAAATATTACCTTTGACCTGAAATTGAAAATATACTAAGAATGGGTGTTTTTGCCTTTATTCGTACAGAGCAAATGTTCACAGAGATTTGCGGGGCGAAGGGCTCTGGAAAATTGTTTATAAATAGGCCCCATAGTGTAGTTGCAGCTGTATTTTATAAAAATACTAAATATATGAACTTAAATTGTCATGTTTAAGTTTTGGAAAGAGTAACATTTAAAACCCCTGTCAGGTTTGTATTGTACTCTGTGGTCTTTGGGGGAATTTCCCTGGCTTCTTGTCCTAGGTACATTTTTCTAACACTAGAAGTGAGGAGATATCTCCCTAAGATTGCCACAGACAAAAATGAAAACCTAACACAACTTCTAACCTGTCGGAGCCATTTTTGTGATCACAATTCCTATGTCTTATATCAAATTTACCAACAATATCATTTTAATCCTTAGTTTAAATATGTAAACCTTATTACAAGAATCCTTCATATAAAATGTATTTAGAATTGTGAAGAACTGGGCAAGGTGTCCCTCTGTAAATAATATTCGTTCTAATTCTGCAACAGGAGACAAACAACCAGTGACATTCTTGGCACAGTGATGGTGCAGATTTCTAATTTGATAGGCTTAATATCCACCGGGTTCACAAAGTAGTTACCCCAATGTGTTTTGTGGTGGGTACACTTAAAATATCCTCCTTCAATTAGCTTTTGAGTGGACAATTAAGCTTGATGTGCCTCACTGCAGTAGACATGTGCAGTTCCCTAATTACAAACCTTTATAAAATAGTTCTGCTTCTTAATTCCTCTTGGTGCATACAGCAGCAGTGTGTGACAGGCTACATTATCTAGTGACTCATAGAATGGAATATCTGGCATTGTCCTCAGAGTACGTGGCCACGTGCCACAAGGGAACAGTGTGAGTTCTGGAAAGCTGGTACCACGAGCTGGCTGTGTGTTTGTTTCTAGGAGCCAGAGGTTAGAGAGTATAGCAAGGAGCAGCTTCCTAATCAAGGCAGCTACATACCCGGGGAGATGCTGGAACGTCCAGCGTCAGTGAGAGCTTCTTCCATGCCACGCCTGGCGGAGAACCCCCAGGTAAATAAATCAATACTGTGACACTTCCACCTTTTGACCCTTTCACTTTGCAAGCACTTTCTTTTTATTGTGAGAATTAGATTAGAGGTGCGCAACCTATGGATGGAACCCCAAGTTCCAGAACCTACTTGGCAACCAACACAGTATATATGTTTGAGAACAACATTTGTGATGACATGGCTTTAACCTCAAAGGTACATTAGATACTTGGGGCACCAGCCATAATGGTTGTGCACCACTGAATTAGTAAATCACCAGCCACAACACCTAGACCATTTACACTGTTGGGTTCCTATCATCATCTCTAATGCCTTTGTGCCACCTGCCGATCCACAGCCACCAGCAAGCACCATGTTGCTTTCCCTGTTTGTTGGTTTGAAACAATTATCATTACATTTGTTTTGCTTGTTTACATTGTTTTTGTATTCGTTTGTTTCGTAGGATTTTTTTTGTGTTCTGTCGATTTTGTTTAGTTTTTTGTAAATTTCTGAAGGGTGTTTTGAAAATTTTGTTCAAACATTTTGCTTTTTATTAAAGGGGAACTGTAATGAGAAATAATGTATTTATCCTAAGTAATACACCTAAAGCTCAACTCCAGACCCTCTTTTGTTTTGGATGGAGTGGGGAAGACTTAAATGCCTTTCAGGTTTTTTTTTATTTCTTTAACTAGGACTGGAACACACATACAGTAATAAAAACATTGTCAGAAGTTCCAAACCCTCCCCACTCTTATTGTCTGTGTCCCTTTCTGACCTGACCGGATGTGAGGGGCAATCTTCCTAATCATAACACAGATAACAACCAAAACTTTACAGAAAAAAAAAGCGTCTGGAGCTGTGCTTCAAAATAAACATTTATAGGATTAATTGAATTTTTCTTGAAATTATTTTCTCTGGTGATGGGATAAGTCTACATTTGCTGAACATATTAATGAGTAATGGTTCCCTTTTAAGCTTTATATTGATTATATTGAATACATGGATATTCTAGGATAAACTGGTAAGCTCCTTTGATCACATTTGTTCAGCAACATGTTAAACTCTGCCATTGACATCCCCTTTTATTATAAGCAGTAGTGTTCAAATTTGCCTACAGTGCCCCGCAGGTAAATGTTGGAATTACAGATAACATTCAGATCTAAAGACATTCTGTGAGCACTATTATATCTTAAAGCGACATTAAACAATCCTATCATTCTGTCGGCATAGGACGATGCCCTCTTAGTCTATATTTAAATGCAGTTACCATGGTGCTGCACATGTGACCAGCTATAACACCAGCCATTTGAGCGCTTTATAGATTGGTTGAGAGCTGAAACAAGCACATGGGCAACTATAATTTATCACTAGAGGGATGCCTTGAATATGGCATACATTGTGTATGAAATAGGCAGAATGTGAATGAAAATAACATTGGATTGTTTGATTCAACTCCAGGATCACGCTGACTTTCAAAACACCGGAAATTTTATCCATACTAGAGCAGAAAGAATCTGGAGCAGTTGTTCATAGTGATGGATCTTAAAGCAGAACTGTGCTGGGGAGGAGAAGGGGGACGAAGCTCTTGCCATTATGTGCAGGTATGCACAGCATAATACTTACACATTGGGTTGATTTACTAAAGGCAAATAAGTTGTTCATTTTGCAAGGGAATTTGCACTTAGCAGGGAAAGTTTGCCCTTAGTTTAGTAAATAAGGGGAAGTTCTGCTGACTTCCATCACCCAATCATGTTCAAGAAAAAATTCTGTTTCTTTTCCCTTTGCACATGATTGGGTATTCTTTACAAGGTAAAGTTACATCACATTCACTAAGCTAAGGGAAGCTTCCCCTGCAAAGTGCAAATTCCCTTGAAAAGTGAGCAGCCTATTTGCCTTTCATAAATTAACCCCATTGTGTCAAACTTACCTCTGAGTTTGCCCCTTCCAGCGATGACAGGTCCATGCTCCCCACCACTGATGCCACCTTCTTCTGCACTGATGTCTTTTTTCTTTAGCTATTGAGCACCTAGTGATGATGTACCTCTGGCACATGTTCCCTGGAGTTACATTATCCGGCTACCCATCTCCATTCCCAACATCTTACAGATGTTAAACATGTACAAACGTATACAATGAATGCACCACAGGTAGCATGCAAAAAATAATAATAATTGCTAGGAAAAATTAGAAAATTGTTTCTTGACAAAAACAACATACAAATTGGTTTCTACCAAAACATACCCACAACACACAATTTTTGCCCATTTCAAATAGGGAAGGCACAGTATTCTGGTTCAGAAGATTCTCTAATTTTATATCATTTTAGGGGGTTGATTTACTAAGGACAAATAGACTGTTTACTTTGCAAGGGAATTTTCCTCCAGTTTAGTGAATGTGGTGAAAATTGACTTTGCAATAAATACCAAATACCCAATCAAGAAAAATAAAATTAAACAGAGTTTTTTTTTGCTTGTGCATGATGTAATGATGGAAGTCAGCAGAGCTTCACCTCATTCACTAAGCTAAGGGAAAATCTCATTGCAAAGTTAACAGCCTAATTGCCTTTAATAAATTAACTCCTAAGATTCATAAATATACACTAAATTGTCAATAGATTATATTAAGAGATCTACAAATCTTCACCATAAGACATTATTAAAAAGTTTTTCTTCTTTTGTCTGCTGAACAAATGTAAATCGGAGTGTGTTGAAGGTTTTCCAACAGAAGGGTTTCTATCTGGCTCCAGTTTCCATTTATCCTAGAAAACCCTATTATAGATTTTCTTTATATAAATTATTTTATGGATATTTTTTTTTCTTCAAATAAGCATACTCTTTATCTCACCCCCTTACCAGCATATTTAAGACTGTATTTAACAGCTTGGCACAAAGAGCAGTAACTGTGTGAGGTAATCTGCAGCAGAAGGTCGCAGGCAAATGCATTTGATGGGTATTTTGGTTGCTGCAGGTCACATCACATAGTTGCCTTTAGCTTTATGTTATTACTCTTAGAAGCAAATAATAAAGTAGTAACTGATGCAAAGTGTAACTGTACTTTCTCAAGTAATTGCAGCCCTACATTAGGTAGACAATGTCCTGCCAGATTGTAAGCTTAAAACTGTACGTTACACCGTTACCTGCCCATCCTGTATGTGGCCTGCACAGCTTTGACACCGATTTCACTGTCCTATATCCCTGTTGGCATACAGGTCAGGCAGCTAAAACATACTTTGTTTTTAAAGGCAATGTATGGCGGTTTTCTATTTTTATTTATTTATTATGGTCAGGGTTTAAAAAAAAATTAAATGATATAAGTCGGGCAAACATGAGGTATTGCTTATGAATATTATGTAGTCTACTACACAGTCAGAAGGTGGAGCTCTTGGCTCTTTTTTATTTCTCTCTCTGTTTCATATGCTCCTTTACTGTAAAAATGTTATTTACTGAGCTTACAAGATGGAGTTTACACACGCACACACATAAATGTGTCAGAGCAGTAACGCATCCCAGTGACTCATCCCTTTAAGGATGGCTATGTCAAGCATTTTAATCACGCAAGGCATACCTCATCGCAAACTGCTACTCCTGTGCTGCCGACCTATAGTGAAAAAAATAGCTATTTTTAATGCATTATATGTTTCTTTGTGAAACAAAGATTGCATACATATAGTACAAAAAATTATATAAAACATCTGTTTTAAAATATATATTAAAAAATGAGCCACAACTATTGCTTTTAAAAGAGGGTACAGCTTTATATTTTACAGTTTGGCATCTACATGTTGAAGAGGAATTTTGGGAATATACAGTTACAGTTCTTTGGGGCTCAAAACAACAATAGCTTAAATCCAGTATACATTGGAACACAACACGGCAGTATATGCTGACACCATGTCTTTACTTTATATTCAGATATTCTTTTCAGATATTCTTTTCTTTCAGACAATCCCTTATGTCGGTAGAAATGTATTTCTGTGCAGATATTTTCTTCTTTTTTGCCTCCTTCTGGCCCTGCAGGTCCTGTCTGATGTGAGCTCCATGCGGCGCTCTTTCTCCACCACTGCGGATAAGCGAATGCGCAGTTCCTGGCTGGATGATTTCTCATTAGATAGAAGTGGTATGGATAGCTACAAGCAGCAACGGCGCAGCTATCATGCTTCTCTAAGACTATCCACCCACCGAATGAATTCTGATACAGGTTGGTCAGAAATGCATGCAGCAATTCACAAAAGTTATTAAAATCCTTAAATCTGAATAGGTGGATAATAAAAAGACACATTTTAATTCAGTTGTATATTCATTATAAATTATTTAGGCTGGGTACACACTTATGCACTTGCATTGCATTTTTTAGGTTGGATTTTGATGCATATTTCATGATGTTTTAACATGCATCGCCATTCTTATCCAAAGCAGTTATAATGCACATCAATCGATGGAAAAATTTGGCATGACCTTCATTTGTGGCCCATGCATCTCAATGCGCTGCATATGTGTGGACTAGGACTGTTGAAAACAATAGCAAACCTCGCCCCACTGTCAGGCTTTAATGAATGGGTAGAACTGAGTAGTTCATCAGCGGTGACAAACTGGGAGAGAAGTAGACATACTCTCGGACATCACTTTGTAGTTCTGTACAGCTACACAAGCTAGATGGGTGACACGAAGTATTGCAAACTTTTTAGGTATGTTTACCCATTTTTCGTTGGTTGGGCCACAATGTATCTGCTGTGGATTATAGAGGGGAAATTCAACATGAAGGACAAACGTACGTGTTGGGCAATGACAAATAGCATAACTTTTTTTTGTGTTTGTCTGGAATTCCACTTGCATCCACCTAATATACACACAAATTATACCAACACTAATGCAAGTTTAGTAAAATATTCTCTAAGTCCTTGGTTCCCAACTGGTGGCTCGTGACCCAAAAGTGGGTTGCGACCCCGTGTTCATTGGGTCACCGCATGCCCTCCACTTTTCTAGGTGAGAGGCTCCTCAGCCTCCCCATAGCCCAGCACTCATGTCAAGTAGCCATTCAAAATATGCTGCCCGCTGCCGAGTGACAGCTTGAGGTGGGATGGGATGGGGCTAGGGCCACGAGGGAGCTCCATTCATACATGCATTGCTTACAGCTCCCTCACCTGTCTTGTAGAGGTGCCTGGACCGGAGCGATGTCACATTCTGGCACCTCTATAGGGCACACAATGGAGCTGTACCATATTGATGGAGTTCCATCACAGCACAGCAGCTCACACTGAGGATCCACTCCAGTTCTCGTAAGATAGGGAGACTGGGTGGATATTAAAAAAAAGAAAGAAAAACAAATTTGGGAGTGTATATGTGTGTCTGATAATGTCTGAGTTGTGAGATTGTGTCTGTGGTTGTGTGTGTCTGTCAGTGTTTTTGAGGGCCCGTTCACACTAGTACAGTGCGTTAATCAGACAGTCCCGTTCTGATGTGGGAAGATGTGTTGCATTGCCATTCATTGCCATTCATTTGAATGCCGCCCCAAACGCACCTCCCACCCACAGTTCTATTGCCCGGACCGTAACGCACGGTACCACAATGCCGTGCTTTCCATGACTTCATGACCAAAGACAAATGTGGGTCCTGAGGTTACACATGTTGAGAACCACTGCTCTAAGCCTTTCACTCCAACTTTGTTTCTTTTTTGTGAAAGCCAGTTTTCACCCCTAAGTTTAAATGTCAGGGCCTGATATAGTTATAGGTATGAGACTGAATTCTAATCCATCACTGATATCAATTATGTCTTGCAGGTCGCCTAGATACTCATCGTTCAGGAGGAAGAGAACGAGGTCGTTCTAAGGAGAGGAAACATCTTTTATCTCCTGATCCTTCCCGTTGCAACTCTGAAGAGAGGAGTCCGCAAGCTGCTTGTGAGCACCATGATCACCAGCTGTCACCCAGCCACACGCACAGCAGCGTGCAGGTAAGGGTTAAATATATCTGTTTATCTCTATTTTATACATTTTCTAAAGTCTGGTATTGTCATACAAGTTGATGGGTTTGATAAAAACTTAATAAAAACTATAGCATATATAAATTGTAAGGGGGACAGGCTAAGCTGGTATTGGGAGCGGTAAACCATGCACGAGACAGGGACACCCGGGAACAGTTGAAGCAGGTTTTTCGTGCACTTTTATTCAGCAAGGCAGCAAGCACAGTTCAATGCTGGAAGGGTTAGTACAGCAAGTCCATAGTATGAAACAAACAAAACATCAGCTAGTCAGAGCCACTAACTAAACTCAGGTCATCAGGTATCCAAAGTAACAGGATGCCACCCAATGTGTTCCCCAAAAACAAACAGGCAGCACTTTTTATTGTTCTGCCTGCGCTAAGCTTTTTCAGTTAGCAGGTCTAGCTACCAAAATGGAGGCTTTATCACATCCAAAGCTCTATAAAGGCTATGGGCTCATGGACCCAGAACAGGACTTATGAAGATTCTAAGAAAACAACAAATTGGCTTTCTCCATTCACCATACCAGTCACAAACCCGGAAACCCTTCACCATGTGTACTTAAGAAACTTAGGTGACACATACACACTGTCCACAATCATGCAGGCCAGTGCCTCACTCTAGATACACTGAAGTATTGTACAGCGATCTACATACCTCATATCGCTTTGTAGACCATTGTAATTTGTAAGCTATTCCTGACGTGACTGATTGCGTGGCATTGGTTGCATTTAGCTATATTACATATTGGGAAATAAGTACACCATGGACAATGGCCCAGAGTCCATGAGGTCAGTGGTTCCAAGCATGAGCTCTTTTCCCCTTCCTTTACCAAATGGGAGCTCACATTACATCTCCTTTCTGTTTTATCCGCTGTTTGTACCTGTTATTGGCTTAGAAATCGTACTCCACTTTCTTAAAAAGTAACTCCATCAAATGACTGAAAGGTAAAACCTGATTTTGCATCAGCACAGTGGATCTTTAGAGTCAGTTCACACATAGCATGCTGTAACACACAAATGTTTGTGCATTATGTATGTGTGTTGGGGTGCCATTGTAAATGAGTGGGACTGCGTCTCAACGACCATGATATTGTGGCATAGGGCTTGAAATGGTGTTTATTACAGTGAGGTAATATATATTCTTAACAGAACTGCAGATGGCAACAACAACCTTACATGGGTTCTAAATCCTTCCCCGCTCTATCCAAAATGAAAAAAAAGTTGTAGTTGGACATACGCATTAAAAAATGGTTGAAGATAAGAGAGTAACACATTATTAGAAGTACTCATTGTTTTTACCAAATGTTTTCAGATTGATTTGCTGCATTGCTAATATGACATGTTTCTGTCCCCATAGATGCTTGACTCTTTAAATGAAAGCTGTATTCCTTCTGACACCAGCACACCAAGACGTGGTCGGCGCCAGCTTCCTTCTGTGCCTGCAACCCCAAGACCTCTTATCTCTTTCTCTTCTTTAATTCGCCGTCAAAAACACAGTTCCCCACCTATGAATGACAGCGATAATGCAGCACCTCTTCCAAGTGACCCAGGTCTGAGTGAGTCTTCCTGTTCTCTCCAGGGACGTCACAGCTCCCAGTCCACCCCTCAGCACTATATCTCAGAGCCATATTTGGCCCTACCTGAGGAGATGCAAAGCTTAGACTGCCCCACTGAGGACACACTTACTTTTGAGGTTGCTGTGGCTACCAGCCTAGGCCGCTCTAACACAATTGGCTCTGCCCCTTTACGTCACGGGTGGCAGATGCCCAATGGTCACTATCGGCGTAGAAGAAAGGGTGGTGTGCCACCTGTCATAGCTTCCCGTGAATTGAGTGACACAGAAGAGGATGATCGGTGTTAAAGAAAGTTGGGATATTCTTGCAGTACAGCAGCTGGTAATCTTTGAATGATCCCTCTCTATCACATCAATGAGCTTCTTCCAGAGGAGCCCCCAAGCACTCACTGCCAATCCCCTAACCAAAACTGCAAGTCCAGGCAATGCCTTGAGATTTGAAGCCTGTCTTTTAATATCTTGTGCCAAAAAAAAATGAAAATAAACTGCCTGAGAAGATACATGCAAAGGGGAAAGCATGGAGGTGAAAGGCCTTCATTACTGGACTGTGATTTTGGGGTGATCTGTTATATGTTTATAGGCTGTGGGGATCACTGCCTATTACATAGGTTCGCTGTTGTCAATTGATACCTTTTCATCTTTTGCCAATAACAGGAGTTGTGTTTCAGAATGTTGGCAATTGATTGGCCCCCACAATGATCCTTCAGCAAGAAAGTAAACCATGAAATATGGCTAATTAGTTAAGCTCATTGGACAGCCATCATATTGCAGTTTACTATTAGACACATTGGTTGACTGAAGGGTTTGCCGTCTAGTTGTGTGATGTTCATATAGAATTTATATGCAAAATGTAGAATGATTGGTTGACAGGCTTTATTTTAAATGCTAATCCTGAGCCCGTGACCCCTTGTCAATGTGCAGGGAGATGAGTGTCCATTTTTGTTATATGTTTTCCATAAACAAAAAAAGATCAAAAGTAACTTGTGCATTCTTGGTTGATGTTTTAATTATATTAGTAGGGATTCTGATAGATGGCACATAGATCATGTGAACACATAAAGGATGAAGCAGACATATCTTTGATTACAGTCATACCCATGTCTTCGTTGTCCAGCTTTGCCCACTCATAGAGGTGATAAGCATGCTTCAGTTTAGTTTGCATGGTCCTTATAAGCTCCTTAGTTCTGCAATGTAGATCTAACCATCTTCTTGAAATATCACAACAGAGCCCACTTTTCTGTTTCCCCAAGGTCTGCTAACACAGGCCTGAGTTGAGTCTACCAAAACCAGGTTTATTCTTTAGTATACATAAGATGTTACACATTATGCATAGCCTATGGCCCCATTCTCCACACCATTCTCCATAAACTGAAACAGTAGTTTTACAATAATGTTACTTATGTCATCCAGAAATTCACTTTGAACTGTCAATTTCATCAGGGCATGAGACTTTAGGGGAACACTCCACCGTTAAACACTTTCACTCTATCTTAAGCATTCTTTCCATACTCATTTCTTCACTTTACAAATTGTTTCTTTTAAAATTCTTCTAATTTAAAATGATCTCTCTGCTCTTATATAGTGCATAGCCATATTAAAGAATGGTGTTGTATGGGCACCTTATATATTTCACTTGAAGTGTTCACACATTCTCAGATCTTTACTGTATGCAGTATAAATATTATGTGTAGAATGCCTAAATATGTACAGTATATGGATGACCCACAATACCAGTTTATACCTGCAGCTGCATTATGTGTGAAGATTGTGGCTCCAGTCCCCTGCAAAAAGGTAGTCATGAGGTCATTTGTTGAGTAAAGTGGTGGCAATCAAGCCACACAGTTTCTGTTCAGCTCATTTATTTTCTGGCCACAATAATATAATGTTCTGGGGCGCTCCCTTTTTTATTACCGTACTGTCTTGGCAATCTGGGGGCCACTAGTCCACTGATGGCATTTAACCATGCGACACAAAACAGAAATGCTTTTGATATTTTCCTAGCAAGCATTTTGAACAGTGCTCGTTATGGTGCAACTACTGAAGTTATACCCTAAAATTTCTCTCTTGTCACTTTTGGGGGTTTATAAATGTTATATGGCAGTTAATTACGAATAAACTTATTTGGTATTAGCATGTTTAATGCTAAGATTTCAGGTTCAAAGCCATTCTTGTCACATTTCTGCTCAGTAAATGCAGGAGATTTGTACTGTGTGTGTCTAGTGACAGCTATATCTGCCAAATGTTATCATTGATATCACGCAACATGAAAACCCTTATGCCTTTGATTTAGCTTTAATTAGATCATGTCTAATATATTAGTCGTCTGCACACAGTAGATGCAGCTATGTTGCCTGAATCAATTTTAATCAACATACAAGCTAACAATTTACTAGGGACCAATGACTTCACTGATTCTCATTGGGGTTTGTTTAAACAAGAATTCAACGGCAGTTGTGTTTATAAAGGGCTGACTTTAGGCATGTGTGTTCTGTGTGGTTGCAGAGGGTGTTCTGCTCCACAAGCAAACTGGTAGCCTGCTGTCCAAAATTACCCTAACCTCCCCTTATGTAAGTCAATGGACATTCTTCCAAATCCCTTCCCCTACCTCTTACTTAAAATGAATTACTACTGGTACATAAGACATATTTTATAATGCGGGTATAGTTGTATTCTGTATTGTACCCATGGCTAACTAACATTCAACAAACCCACATAAAACCTAATAGAAACCTTAACTCCCTCAAATGTGCATTAGAAGTTTAAAACTCAATAAAATGCACTTGAAATACCTATATTTTATAAAAGACAAGCTTCTTATGATGCCAACTGATAAAATCTGGGTGGCTTGCTGGTCTGTGGGCAGGTACATACTGCTAAGTCACATCTAAGCAAAGTTTTGGGTGACCAGCATTGATGTATATAGCAACATTGCACTAATAAGAGGTCATCAGTTACCGTTAGAGTGGTACAAGTGGGACGTTACAAAACAGGAGCAATCTAGCTGGCAAGACAGCTTATTTTAAATTTCATTTGACTTGTCTTTCACAAAATAAAGGTACAAGTCTGATATCAGACAGCCAGACCGATCCTCCGGGTACCGTCACATGCTCCCGCAGTTTAATTGAACAAGGGAATGGCAATGTCTCATCCTCTGTTTCTGCACAGTCTCTCTTTGCAAAAGTGAAAACAAGAAAATAAGTAATAAAGTGATCAAGTTATGTAACTAAGCCTACACAAGACCAGTCAGAGCTCAAATCTAATTTGGTGTTATTGGCTGTAGCACCATATAGAATTGCATAAGTATCAATTCATGACACACCATTTGGTTGTGCCTAGGCTTGGATTCTTTTTATGGTTCTAATTTCCATGGAACACCTTGGAAATGTATAATTGTCATTTAATGTTAGTCTACTCCAAAATCAAGGCAAAATAGACAACCGCCATGTAATCCTAATCTGTATGCATTTTGTGAACTAGAACAAAAGCTAACAGTGTAAAAATAAAAATTTCTCAGTCTAGACTCAAGTAGGAAGCTTAGTCTTACATCTTTAGGTCCTGACTTTAAAATTATGTAAAGGAAAACCACTTGGGGTCATTGTTCTGTTTATGTGAGCTGCCATGGAATCATTTTGGAAAACTGTAGTATTATTAGATATCTTGTCACTGGTACAGATGAGTATGAATCAAAGCTAAAACTGTATGAGAGAAAAATATTCAGATTGGGAATTTTTACCACGGTTTGCATCCTCACCTAAACTTATCTCTTCGGAGCTACATTTTCTCCTTCTGCAATGATGGACACTTAACAAGAGTGCTATGTACATGCAAATACTTCTCTCCGTGCAATTCCGGAAAGAAGACACAATCTAATCAGGAGCTGGGGATGGAGACTGTATTATAATTTAAATAACTTGTTTTTGTCCATAATTTAAAAGAAAAATAAGTTGTGCGATTTTGATGGGGGGATTTTTTGTGAAAGAGAATACAAATATATAAAAAACAAATTGTAAATAATTCTCAATATTTCCTGTCTTTTTCTGACTTTTTCAGTCTGGAAATAAAACTTGAAAAAGGCAAATGCTTTGTGTTGTTGTTACCCTTGTAAACAGTTTTTATTTTATTTTTTTTACCTTCTCTCTCCTCTAAGTAGAGTGAATCTGTGCTTTGCCTATGCAGGACAAAAGGCTCATTCACACCAGTTGAGATGACTGGAGTTGATTCAGTGCAAAAAAAAAACACCAGTCACTGCAAGGGCAAACAGAAAACAACTGTCTTCTATGTGCCTCGTTCACACCACAACACTGGTGTGATGTGCGGACTGCATTTTTCTGCAGCACACTGAATGGCTACGGCGGCCACTGCAATGCAGCACACCATGCTACTTTGTGGAGACCTTTGAACTGAGTGTAAAAAAAATAAAACATTAAACTGCGCACACTACTGTCACCCAGAAGACTCCAGCCACATGCTAAAATGTAATTTTTAGCATGCATCTGATGTGAGCCCAGCCAAAGTGACAGGTTTACTTCAATGCTGACCATACCTGTTGCAGATACTCACCTTCTTGTACCTTCCCTGCTGTGTGTCGGCTATCATGGGACAATGCACAGTTGCCACTATTTGGAAATAATTAGTACGGGCTACCTTGAAGGCATTGAGAAGAAAAATGCAGCACACAAAGCATGCCACCTGCCAGAAACATGGAGGCATGGTCAAAAAAAACAGAGTAGGTGTGGTTTCACAGTATACAGTTTGTAGTGTCCAGCCTTGCCCCCTTTAGTTTGCTATGTTTTAGACAAAAAAGGATAATCTGAAGAGACAGTGGGGATTAAACATTTACCCTTCATTCGAATCAGTGGGATAAAATAACCCCATCGCTTGTGTCAGTGAGAGTAAATTAAGCCTCATTGTTGTTGCCAGTAAGATAAGAATAACCCCCATTGTCGGTGTCAGTGGGATAAAATAAACCCTATCACTGTTGTCAGTGTGAGTAAAGTATGCCCATTGTTAGTGACAGTGTGAATAATGCATGCCCATCATTGGTGTCACTGGGATAATATAAACTACATATCACTGGTGTCAGTGGGATAACATAAGCTTCATCATAAGTGTTACTGAGAGGAGAATACAGGCCAATATGGTGTCAGTGGGAGTAAAACAAGCTGCAAAACTGTTGGTGTCAGTGGAAACAAAGTTAACATAATGTTATTGGTATCACTAGTTACTAAATAAACTCTTAAGTTATTGGTTTCACTGGGAGAAAGAATAGGTATTAGTGTTCAGTGGTTAATACCAGAAGCTCCCATGCTGCTACCTCTGCTGACAGGAACTTTGCTATGAGGTCACTCCACCCGACAGTCAGTGCTGGCATAACTGCAGTGTGTTGCAGAACTCAGCACTCCACTGCCACTCTTCCAAGTGTGAAGTGTCCTAGATCCTTCTACACATGGACACTGTGGGACAGAGTCTAAAATCCCATGACTATCCCGCAGAATGCGAAAACTTGGCAACTATGTACAATGCTGGGTGCTGAAAATCAAATGGCTATGTGCCAGTACTGTCACATGGGAAGGGTATTACATGCTCTCCGCTACCCAGAAGATACCAGGTATTTTTATTTGCTCCAGTTGGAGGACAGAAGCAAAGGTAGGGTGACTCAGTGGTACTGGTAGTAACAACATTAAAGTGGCCCTGTTGTTTTGCTCTGAATGCTTTAAAGAATACCTCGTGAGTGAAATACAGGGACTGATATTGTTAAAAAATGCTAACACTTTCTGAGTCACTGACCAAAAGCAAGCATTTAGGAAGTGAAATCAGAACTCCTGGTTTGCATACTTGTCCTGGGTCAGTAACTCAGAAAGCACCAAAGCCAGAAGGGCAGCATGACAGACAGAAAACAAACATTTTCAAAAAGAGGTCAACAATGGCAGCCTACATATTTCTCGCATGACAGTTTTCCTTTAAATGTCTACCTTCTCGGAAAGACTCTTGGAAGCAGAAATGTGTCTGCATTGTTCTTCTCAATGCCAGTTTTACAAATTACAAAATGCTAAATTCCCAGCCTTTAATGTAATCATTTTACTGTCAGTCATGTGTATAAGCAACAGATTTCTCCAGCTTTGGATCCCATTTGGATTGTGCCTTTGGGTATTCATGCTCAACAAGACCATCAAACAGCTGTCACTCTAAGTCCCAGCTTTCATGTACACTATGAAGTCACCTGTAAAAAGCTGAGA